GCTGGTCATATCTTGAAAAATTCGTAAGGAGGGGCGTTCGTAACTAGAGGTACCACTGTACACTCCTTTCATGCTAAAAGCTTGAAATGAGGAATTCAGAACATTTAGGTATAATCAACACTTAAAATGTGAAGCCACCAGTCTTCAGTCACACATGAAACAAGCAGGCCCTAGGAGATGTTTCTTCAAATGGGGGGGGGGGCAGCACAGACAACTCTTCTGCCTGCCCCAACAACAACTGTGCAGGAAGTGAAAGCAGGAAAGCCAAACACAAACCTTGTGAGGATGCTTCACGTGCACACAAAATCCAAGTTCCTTTAAAACTCTCCTCTCTGCCTTGATGATTTGGTTCTTCAAGTTAACATACTCTTGATCCAGTATTAGAGGTACAGGTTTCCTGTGTGGGGAGGGAGGGAGAAATGGTCTTGGTTGGAGCCCAAACAGTAAAACACCACAGCAGGAGTTTTATTGCCACTTTTTGTACAGTCTGAATGGGAAAATCAGCCCAATTGAGGTCCCAACCCTCATCCCCAGTTGGAATCCAATACAGTTGGAGCGCACCAGATTGAGAAAGGCTTGAATCTCCAAGATCCCTTTTGGATCTGAGTTGAAGGTCAACCTGAGTTGAAACACTTAAGCTCAAATTTACCCTCCTTAACAGACCCTTCAGCCACAGAATGATGGAGCTTTGCTCCCTCCCAAAGCCCCACCCCTACTCCAACCCTGTTTAGGCACTCCCAGCAATTATATGGCTTCTAGCCAGCCAGGTCTTATTCCCACCACAAGTGGTCTTCCTCTTGCTGAGATCAGGGTTGACCAACCTGCAGACAAGAACCCAAAGGACCAGTCTTCTTCATGGGGAGAGGGGAGAAATCTTAGTGAACCCACTTTCCACATTGGAAATGACCCACAATCCAAGAAAGACAGGATCCTTAAAACACCCCTATGCTGGGTGTGGATGCAGGAAAAACGGTCGGAGTGTGAAAGTGAAAGGCAAGTGGTCACAGGGGACTCTTGGAAGAGCAAAGAATTACAGCAGTGAGAACCGACCAAGCATGTTGCATTCTAGACTTACTTTTTCTCTCTCAGATACCGAAGTCTGTGGAATACATTAATGACATCTCTTATACGCCGTGGGGCTTCTTCAATTTTGGAGGCCAAGTGAACACAAGCCATTGACACATGCTGGAAAAAGGAGGACATGCAACAGAAATTTGATTCTGAACTGCAGCAGATCAACTTGGAGAGCTCAGCCAGTCTTCACACAGCACATCCAACCTCACTGTGCTGCCTCATTTGTTTCTGAGCAACTTTTTTTTTTTTTTTTTACTTTTAAAAGACTATGCCATTATGGGACCAGAACTACTAACTCTCCCCCACCCCCAAGTTACAGGAAAGGGCCTTTTCTATAATTAAGCTGCTCACAGTGGAACTCCAAGAGAAGTCTTTCCAAATGACCTCAATGTTGCCTTCATTATAATTTTTGGAGAAAAAAATGTCTATCCTATATGTACAGTATTTAGGTTTTTGGCGAGTCACTGAGTTTAGCATATTCTTTTGAGGCGGCAGGTGGAGTTTCTTAACCTTTTAAAAGCTGCTTAAATGTAAACTATGAAAGAAAAGCAGTATATATTTAAATCAAACCAAATTTTAATATCAGTGCATTAGGGATATGGACCGAGAGAAAAAGATATATAGATTCATAGTAACATTAAACTGCAGTCCTGAAAACATTTGTATTTGTGACAAACAGGACTATTGGCAAGTACAGTGGTACCTCGGGTTACGAATTTAATCCA